TCAATGCCACGTAGAATTAAGGCAGTTCTGAAGGCGAAAGGGGGTCAAACACCGTATTAGTATGGTGTTCCTAATAATCCTTTAGGTGAGTGTATGTTAACATGAAGGTGACCAATTTGCAGGAAATAGTAAAAGACTTTCCACCTACAGGTTCTTAATCATTGCTGTCCTCTATCTTTACTGGAGAATACAAATTCATATAGAGTGTGGATATAAAGAACACTCTATCGACACTGTATCAGTGTATCTGTACTGTATCACTGCATCTTCACTGTATTGCTGTTTAACCAGGATGTAATGTGAGTTTACACAGAGCCACGGCAGATACTGAGCCCTGATCCCAGAGGTGCCAGACAACAGTGATATCAATAGCTGAATAAACAAGCTGACTGGCAGAAAATTCAGGAAAGGTATCAAAAGACATGAACTGTAAAACCAAAGCACAGTGTTTGTTGTTGATGTCTGTCAGTTTGTGAGTGGATATGGCTATAAGATTCTGGTGCTTCACAAAGCAGTAAAAAATATCCAGAGTGTCAGGCCAGCCAAAATCTCAACAAGAGCAAGACAGAAAACTGCCAAGAAAGTTGCAAGGAACCCAAAAGACATACTCAGGGATCAGATCTAGTCCAAGCCCAGACTTAAGCCCCGCTGAGATATTATGGCAAGACCCGAGATATGCAGTTTGTGTTGGAAAGCCCCGATGTCCTTCAGAAATTCTGCATAGAGAGGTGAGATGAAATCAGGAAGGAACTGAAGATGGTATAACTACATACAGTGTTCAGTGTGTCAGTATAGGGAGGGAGCAGTCCCCTATTAAACCCATAAAACATATATCATACTTAAGTATGGTGAACTGTCTCTAAAATCAGTCTATTCATTTTGGCTTTTAGCATTAAATGTACTTCATAGAACAGGCCAATCGTCAGCTGCATAACGAGCCAACGCATTTGGGGAGAAATTAGTGATCCAAATGTACTTAAAGCCTAATAACTATAACAATTTTATATTTTATGTTATAATGATAAAAAAGAAATCTAGTCCCCTGAAAAGACATTAAAAATTAGAGGTCATTGTTAACACACCACAACACACAGGGCACAACAACGAAACGTGTCCTCGGCATTTAACCCATACTATATGTGGCGTCGTGACATAGCAGGGGGCAGCTAATTCAGCGCCTGGGGAGCGGTACCTTACTCAGGGTACCTCAGTTGTGCCTCAATTGCTAGTCGGGGTATCGAACCCGCAAGGGCGCTTCCTTAACCGCTAAGCCACCACTGCCCACAGAAAAAATAAAAACGTATACTTTAGTAATATTTATTTTTTAGTTATATTTAATATTTATATTTATTTATTTCAATAATAAATTAATTAATAATAAATAAATAATGAATTCATGAATTTATGAATAAATAATCTATTAGCGGGTTTTTTATTCGTCTAGTGGGGGCAGTACAGCAAATAAATGGTGCGGGTCCGACCGCTTCGCTAAAGTCGTGGCGGGGAATGTTTTTCAATCATCTGACACACCGTCCACAATAATCATCTGATCACTTTGTGGGACAACATGGCTTCTGCTCCAGCATTGCTCGCCTCAGACTGAGTGCTTCAGGTGTTTTTCTCTCCTTTCTTGTCTGTAGTCGGAGATCTTCTTGCGAAACGGGCACCGGCGTATCGGTGTTTTCTCGCCGTACTCGGACGGTATGCACGGAGAAGGAGCTGCGGCTAGTGACGCTGGTATGACTATGAGATGCAGTGCCGGGAGCCCAGCAGCCGGAACATAAACGCCAATTGAGCGCTGATCCTCTTTGCACGACGCCCGCAGATGGCATTCGAAATGTGTCTGTACTCCTGGAGAGGGTGAGGAACTGGTCCCCGGAAATACTGGTGGCCATACTAAAGAGATGGACTTAATCAGGAACGTAGTTAAGAAGAAAATGTGAACAGATACAGCAGTCTAGTTTAGAGCCCCCCCAGAGGAAGTGAAGAACATCGTGATCGAAGAAGTATGTGGCAGGGATCCGTGTCGTTTCTGCTCCTTTGGAGCATTATATAACCGTTGGGTTCTGGTCCAACTTTACAAGAAAATTGACTGCGTTTTTTTGGTTGTTGTTTTTTTTTTTTCATTTCGATCGCAGCTGGAAACGACATTCGGTGTCTCCTAAGTGTTTTACTAAAGAAACACGAGCGGTTATTCTCCTGTTATTTGTAATTTAACCGGAGATGATTGAGGATGACGACAAATACGGTCTGTTATTAATTGCCTTGCGTATCTGTGTGTATAGATATTGTACAAATGAAATTAGTTTTTGTATAAATGCTAAAGCATCTTTAATTGGTCCTTTATTTAAACCTGGTATTGCTTAATTTATTTTATGAATGACTTTACTCCAATGCGTTGGCTGCAGCAGCTGACAGTGTAAACAAGCTACTTTTAGAAATATGTCCCCGTTAAATACTTATATGTATTGTCATTGGTCGGGTTACAGACGGATAATCTTTAAATTCCGTCTTTCTAGTTAATTTTTTAAACACACACACAGAGTGAGAGAGAATATATTTACATATTTATAAAATATTTATAGAATATATTATAGAATTGAGCCTATGATCACTCATGCTGCTTGATGATTTAACAGCAGCTAAAATGCTAACGGCTAATGTCCATGTGCATGCAGCCACCCCCTCATACGGAACTAATAATCATACTCGACACGATGTTCAACAGAGCTACGTACGTAGTCTACTTTCCCAGTAAAACTGACATTATTTATTGGAAAAAAAACGGCAATGGTGGATACGCCGAAGGATACGGTAGGCCTAAAAGATGAAGATGCCCATGTCTTATTTTTAACCAACACAGAAGGTTAAAGAAGTAAGTAGTACTGACAAACGCTTCGTTAGCAGAAAAGAGAGTTCGCCGCTCGAAATAAAGTGGCCATGCAGACTATAAGGCTTTTGCGATCCTTTACCGTGCCTGTCAGTCACACATCTTTGTATGGCAGCAGGGCGGCTCGGCAGGTAGGGCTGCTGCGTCAGTCCTCAGCTTTGCGTTTGGAAATATACTTTTACCCATGTTCTCATGGGTGTCTTCCAGATACTCCCAGAATATATATTTTAATTGGGCTGGACACAATATTCCCCGTCATATGTGTATAAGAGGCACTGTCCTATTATCTCCGTGACAGGCTTCGAGGTACTCTGACCCTAACTGGGAAAGCGATTATTAAAAACCGATACATGGATGGGTATTACAAGTACAAAAATATAAAGTGAATAAAACAGTTTGATCTAATTAACCCTAATAGGATCAATAACAAACAAAATCAATTATTTAGATTATCGTTGGTCCACCTTTAGGCTCCAGTGAAGATCATGAAAAATGCACTGGGAAAATGAAAAACAAAAAAATTGCTTAATATACTAAAAAATACCTGGAGAAAACGGGGTGCACCTATAACACATATTTGCCGAAACGGCAACGGAGAGAGATAGCAACATGGATTAATATGTGCAGCATGCACGGAAAATAACTAATAAGGACCCTGGTGGCAATCCCGGATAAGGGGAGAAGAAGATTTAAAGTCCTGATGCTCAGCATCAAGCAGATGTTGCGCTGGCCAGACCAGACGCGGCTTGGATCACAAATAGGAGGAGTGCGCATGCGCGATCCCTGCCGTTTACTGTATATGCGCCGAGGAAAAAAAGAACAGAGGCAACAAAACCAACCTTTTTACAGCAAAGTGGCTCGTGCTTTATAAATAACCTCCTGGGAAACAAAGAGCCATCTCAACAGGTACTGTGTAAATCGTGTCTTAAACGTCGCTTTTGCTCGGCCTCGCGTTTGAAATTTTGCATTAATTACCGCTAATGCATAGCTAGCTTGGACTTATATATTGTTCTGCCCAGCTAATGGATGTGCCGTTCACGGAATACCTGTAATCTAACGTTAACATTTAAATGGCATCATTGCAAAGTCTAGCATCGGTGGGCTACAACAAAAATCGAAATGAAAAACACCTTTTGAATGATCTTTTTATTATGCATTCCTTTATTAAGAGCGGCTCTGCTTGCGCTGTATTAATATTCGAAATATAAATTCATACATATTAATCATCCTTCGTGAGAGTGAGTACTGTTTTTAGCCGAAGGCTGATATACACGCATTGTTTAAAATGATATATCGCACGTCACGTAACGGTCGTGCCTTTTTGCCTATAATTTGATGTTATTAAGATATTTTAAAGGCAGTCATTATAATTTAATACGCTTATTGATGCAGCTTTCTCAGTGATTCACCCATCCCCTTCGCCCGCACTATATACATTATATTAAGCACTGAATTTCATTCTTTTATAACCCCTTTTTCGTCAGAGGCATGTATACTTTCAGTGACAAAGCGTCGCTGCTGTGTTGCTGCACGCCACCTCCATTAATTTACACCAAAAGCACGAAGAGTGACTGGGGCTCGCAGGAGGTTAGTTACCCTCCGGTTAGATGCGTGAATCCTGCAGGCTCCTTGGGTGTGATCGGCGGCTTTTCCTATTGCATATCTAACACGTTGTCTGTGCCTACCTTTTAAACATACTCTATTAATCTATAAAATAAACACGGATCGATGTAAAACCGCCGCTATCCTAAGTGTCATTGTCTTTCTGTAAGATTTAATCGAGCGCTAGTTAAAAAGAAGCGGTTACCGAAAGTGGCTCAGTTATTGTAATGGGGATTAAAATGGTCTCGACGAGCTGATCATACAAACGAGCGGCGCACCCGAAGGCAGTTGGTCCGCACTTGATTTTATAAGGGGTAGGCAAAGGAAGAAATAACTGTTGAGAAGGACAAAAAAATAAACACAAAAGAAGGAGAATCCTGGTTTGTTGTGCAGCTCCTTGTCACCTGCTGTGGTTTTGAGCGATGCTACTTAGGTGAATCTTTGCATGGAGATCCTGATGGGTGGAATGATATTTTTCAGGGATTTTAGTGTGATGAAACAAAGGAACAAAGGATGCTTTAGAAGAGCTGCTGTCTTCAAGTCTGGATTGTATTTCAAAGCACACCGATGGATCTATTCCCTTGCAGTACCTTTAGATCGTGATATGTGACTGACAGCATCGCTTATGATCCCTCCATCTATGGCGAACTATAGCCATGCAGGTGAGCACAGCATCTTGCAGAGTGTGTCTCCCCTCGCCACGTTCCTCAAACTGACCTCCCTGGGCTTCATCATCGGGGTCGGCGTGGTCGGCAACTTCCTGATCTCCATCCTGCTCATCAAAGACAAGAGTCTGCACAGGCCACCCTATTACTTTTTGCTGGACCTCTGTGCCTCTGACATCCTGCGCTCGGCGATCTGTTTCCCGTTCGTGTTCACCTCTGTGAAGAATGGCTCGGCGTGGACCTACGGCACGCTCACCTGCAAAGTGATCGCCTTCCTGGGCGTGCTCGCCTGCTTCCACACGGCCTTCATGCTCTTCTGCGTCAGCGTGACCCGCTACCTGGCCATCGCGCACCACCGCTTCTACACCAAGCGGCTGACCTTCTGGACCTGCTTGGCCGTCATCTGCATGGTGTGGACGCTCTCGGTGGCCATGGCCTTCCCGCCCGTGCTGGACGTGGGCACCTACTCCTTCATCCGGGAGGAAGACCAGTGCACCTTCCAGCACCGATCGTTCCGGGCCAACGACTCACTGGGCTTCATGCTTCTCCTGGCCCTCATTCTCCTGGCTACCCAGCTGGTATACCTCAAGCTCATCTTCTTCGTCCATGACCGGCGGAAGATGAAGCCCGTTCAGTTCGTGCCGGCCGTCAGCCAGAACTGGACCTTCCATGGACCCGGGGCTAGTGGGCAGGCAGCCGCCAACTGGTTGGCGGGCTTCGGTCGGGGTCCGACCCCGCCCACCTTGCTGGGGATCCGGCAGAACGCAAACCCGGCGGGCCGGCGCCGCCTGCTGGTCCTGGACGAGTTCAAGACGGAGAAACGCATCAGCAGGATGTTCTACATCATGACATTCTTCTTCCTGGTGTTGTGGGGGCCCTACCTGGTGGCGTGCTACTGGAGGGTGTTTGCCAGGGCCCTGGCTGTGCCGGGGGGCTACCTGACGGCCGCTGTCTGGATGAGCTTCGCCCAGGCCGGTGTCAACCCCTTCATCTGCATCTTCTCCAACCGCGAGCTCAGGCGCTGTTTCAGCACCACGCTCCTGTACTGCAGGAAATCCCGGTTACCGAGGGAACCCTACTGTGTTATATGAAGGCTTGTTTCTGTGATTGATTGGCTGGGCAGTTTGGTCGTACGCCTCCCCTCCCAGTGCCCAGCAGAAGGGAAGGGAACTGTCCGTCAGTAGATTCGGATGGGGAGTCTGGAGGCACTTGGTGGATATTGTAAATGTTCAGGAATGGGATGTCCTGCTGTGTTTGTTATGGTAATTTATTTGCTGTGGAAGCCTGTTTGAAGCCACAAAAGCAAAAAAAAAAAAGAAAACTCAAACTCTGGATGTTTGAAGATTATTCTGTGAGGTAAGAGTTTTGCAAAAAAAAAAAAAAAAGTTGGGGGAGGGACTTAAGCATATCCTTACCTCTGAGAAATGGAATTATTTTACATTTAAAAATTGCACTAAAGAAAATATATGAAATGTTCTTTTTTTTTTTTTGCTCAACCATTCGCTTTTACAGACTTCACACTGAACGCTTTAGTTTACTGACGATTAGTTCGCTAAAGACGAGCTGAGTTTCACCCAGTGACCTTCGGTACTGGAGTAACACCTTCCACAGGTTAGACAGTGATATCAGTGTAAGTGATATTTTTCCATTTTTCTGAGTGGGGGGTGGGTGGGTTAACAGTATCGTTGTGCTTTTTTGAATCGCGATTTAGGACCTATTTATTGTAGTTTTAATATTCATATGTCCCAGTTTTCCCACATTGTTATTTTTTGTCTACTGTTTTTTACAATGATGATGATGATGATGATGGTTGGGTTACAAAACACACACCTATTTTTTTGGAGAACAGAGCCCAAATGAACAGCGAAGGAGTGTCATCTGTCACCGTCACTTGTCACCGTGCCTGGCCACCCTGCTAATGTCCCTGCAGAAGATCTCACCTTAATGGCTCAAATACAGCACCATATATTCTATCGTGCTTAAGCTGCACGCTCCCCCCAAACACCCACACAGACCAGCGCCTTACCGCAGGTCCCTTTGTGGTCCGATCATACAGCCACTGTGTAAGACCCTATTTCACAGCACGACCCAAGCCTTAGTTAGAGATACTGCACAATTTGTAAAACCAACCTTCAGAAATGACACCTGTTGTATTAAAGGCCCAGCGTCCTGATCATCTGTTCCCCACATTTGTTGTCTGGTTGATTTGGATCATCCATCCTTTTGACTCCTGTGACCATTCTAGTCCTGACGAATGGGGATTTTCCTCTTTGTTGAGTAGCTGAAATGTCCGTTTGTGAGTGTTTCATTTTGGAAGGCTTGGATGTGGCTTTAACCTGATTTGGGGGACTGCATTCTGCCAAACGTTACCTGTGTACACTGTTGCTTACATTTTGGAAATAAAATTTTACATTTTTCAAATTAATTTTATTTCCCCCCGTCTTCTTGGTGTGGGTGACCCCGCGAGGCCTTGGCATGTCCTGGGTTGCCCCTTTTGTCGCCTGGTTGAATTCCCACAAGGAATCTTCCGCTGATCCTGTGATCCCATGTTTGCCGACCTTGAGGGAATGATGCAGGGGCGTCATTGCTGTGGCATGCTTTTATTTTATGAACCCTTTTATGGTAGATATCAGTTAGGCCGTCTTCTTAAACAATGCAAAAAAAAAAACAGCGCACGTTCAGCTGGAGCGCACTGCATGTAAATTGTGGCACGGCGGGAGTGTGGTGGGGAAGCATTTGAACCTGGAGCTAGAAGGATCTGTGTCACAAGGCATTCTGGGAAGGCCATTATGATTGTCCCTTTGTGGTTTGCTTGTTTCACTTCTTACAGAACTTTGTGAAAGGGTAGGAGTGTAAATTATGCACGTTGTGTTAGATAAAAGCACCTGAATAAGGAAAAGGCAGCGAACGATGGTTTTATTCTTCAAGGTGGCATTAGTCACAGTGCCTCTAAGTTATAGGCGTGAATCTGCAAGGTTGGCTTCACAGGAAATTGCCTGAAAATCTCTGAATGTCACATGGGTGCTTAATGTCTGCTTTAGGCCACCGTATCATGTAAAGCAGGCGGGCAGGTGTAGGACAGCGTTTGATGGATAGAGAGTTATGGGCGACTTGTTCGCGGGTCTGGGGAGCCTCATCGAAAATGTTAAAGGCCACCCCCCCACCCCTGCTCTTTGCCTGGGAAGTGAACTCAGCACCTCGTTTCACTTAATGTTAGGCCATCGACGTGACCACGAGCCGAGTGACACCTGGCAAACTCCTCAGTCTCAAGCCTTGACTGGCATTAAAGACGCTCCGTGTTGGACGTGAGGCAGGTAATTAGGGAGTCTGGCTTCACAACCTCAGCCTCTGTATCTGTGATCAGAAGCTCACCACTATTGAGCTGGGCCTCACTAGAACTGGGCCTCACTAGAACTCTCACGTGTCTGTGGAGCACTGAGCGAGGCCCCTACCCCCCCTTCCTGGGCACCATTGGTGGCTGCCCCCAAGCTTGCTCTCGTCTGTGTGTCTCTCATGGACAGCGAGGGGGGGTTAGGCAGAAGGAGAAATTCCCCACAAGGCTAGAGAAAGTGTCATTCTGTCCTAATGCTCATCTGTGGAGGTGTGTGGTTCTGTGATCCTGGGCACCTGTTTCCTCCGTTACCTGTGATGGGCTCTGGTTCTGAAATGAAAGACATGCTGGACTGTGGCTGGAGGCTTAACATTAATTTATTTCTTTTATTTATGCTGTTTCTGTATTTTGTTCGCCTCCCCACTCCACTGGATTGGTGTTTACCTCTTGATAACACGCAGCATCATTTGCAAGAAAACACAGCTGTTATTTGCCTATCTTGCCGTGCCTGTGCCGTCACAGCCCGCCGATTAATAAGCGCCTTTTACCGGATGCCTTACTGCGCTAATGAGGCATGACGGGGCGACGGTGGGGTCACACGGTGCCGGAGTGAAATCACCAGGCACGTGACTTTCTTCTTCAAGGCTGTGTTTTTTGCATAGTTTGCTTTTAAGTGAGTAGGAATGTGCAGAGGACAAATCCTCTGGAGTAAAATTCCATTACTTATACACGTCTGTCTCTGCTGCTGCTGCAGAAATGGCAGGAATCTTCTTTTTTTATATTAATGGCGAATTAATTGCCCCACCAGGGTGTATTTAAAGTAGCATTTGCTGCTATTTAGACAGTGGGATGTCGAAAAATAAATAGCGTCTGTTGTTTGCTATCGTTTGGGTTTCTGTGTGCCTGCGTGTGCTCGACAGTTTGCGGTCCCCGTGGGCAGCCTTGTACCCAGAGAGCGGGCGGCCGTTTCATGCCTGCGAGAAAAGGGATGCTGCTGATGGGGGTCCTCTGTGCTTTAGGGAGCTCTGAGGAGGACTTGCATCATAGCTACGTATCCATCTCTGCACTCCATCTCAGCCACTCAACATTTATGTTAGTTTAAGGGTTTCCCAGGTAATGGCTTAGCTGATTGGCTGGCAGCTGTCCCCCATCACATGGCCTCCCAGGGCGAAGCCTATTGGGTCACGACCCTGAACCCCTTCGATGAAGCGCCGTCTGCATCTGGCTCTTATTGATCGTTCTGCTTTGGAGTGGCGAAGCCGAGGATGTGTTTTGTTGTTTTTGTCTGCCGTTGAAATTTGGAATCAGCACCCAAGTGGGTAAATAATAAGAAGCAATGCATTTGTTTCAAAAAATAAATAACTGGAGAATAATGTTTTTGTTTCAGTGTCAGATCTGGAAATACTGTGTTCTGTAGAAGTGAGAAAAAAAAATGTTTCAGGCGGAGGAAACCACAACAGAGTGCCAAATCTCCAATCCAAGAGATATTTCTGTTTCCTCAGATATGCTGCCATGATGGTCTCATACAGTCATTTTGTAATGAGGATACAAAAAACATGGGTCCCTGTTAAAAGGCTGGTTCATCTCCCCTTTACTCATTAGTAAATATGTCTCTGAGCAGCGCTGTGTCGTGTCCCTAATGTCCGCTGCAGGGCGTGCTGTCTGAATTCTGCCAGTGGGGGCGCCGACTCCTAACATGATGCGCTTCTGTCATCGGCGTGGTTGGCGACGTTGGCGATGAGGCGCCTGCTCTGCGTGATCGCATGGCTTAGTGCTCTGTTTACAAAAGGTGCAAATATCAAAATATCTAGGATTTTGTAAGGTGGGAGCATAACAGGGGCTATAATTCATACACAGGTGCCAACCTTATCATTAGCCAATGATATATTGTGAATTGATGAGTGATAGGGGAGGGGGCATTGCAGGACCCAACCAGCTTTCAGCTGGGGCCCGTGTCCCTGTGGTTTTACCCCTGTATACACCTCTGGCGGTTATATTACACATGATCAGCTGGAGCTGCATAGGGTGTGAACACTGTTTATTATCAGGTGGGTAAAGGCCCATTGTACACCTGTATTACCTGTATTCAAGGTGAACTTGCTGCCCCCTAATGGAGGGCCAAAGTAGTGCAGGCACACACCACACGCCACTCAGAGTGGGGGACCAACCCTTTCCCCACCCCCCCACCCCCAGCATGCCAGGATGGTGCCACTGGCGGCCTGGCGCATGGTGCCAGCTCAGCGATGCCATCAGAGCCCCACACACCAGGTATCAGTTTCATGGCAAGGGTTAGGGTTAGGGTCACACCCCATGGGGTTCCATCAATGTGGGAGCAGGTGGGGAGAGGAAGCCAGAGGGGGTGTGCCCCACTCCGAGCTGGAAAACGCGCCTCACATTTACTGGGAGTCAAGAGGCAATGGGGGCCTTTTCCTTAGGGAGGGAGGAGAGGAGGCCGGGCCAGGTGACCGCTGTCCGATATAACCCAGGAACCAGAGGGATGTGGGATCCGTGTCTCTATACCACTGGACACTCACAGCTGACCATTTAGTGACCTCTGTCTATGTGGCACTTCACTTTAAGTCTAATGCTAAATATTAAAAACTGAATACTTAAATGTTATGCAGTTACTTAGTGCCAATACATAAATATGCCCCATTATACACATTTTCTAAAAATGTGAAAAAAATATAGCATGATAACATTCAACAGAAGAATACATTTACATTTATTTGTTTAGCAAATGCTTTTGTGCAACATAAAGCATTTTCCCCCAAAATCATGATTTTACTAATAATTTTACCAGAAGAATAGTCCCTAAATGAACAGGAGACACAAGGGAACGAGGATACCCCTAATTCTGCGTTAAAAGATCGAATGTTGCAGGTGTACTTTTCAATTACGTTTTTAAAGCTTTTTTTGTGGATACTTTGCGTTCATTTAAAATGACAATCAATATAAATTGAACTGAAAGGGTGGTTGACAAACGCGCCCTGCCCCATTTTTAATCTTCCTGTGACTTGCTTTCTTTTTATGGCTGTTTGTATCTGTGAGAGTACGGCCGCTCCTTTTGTATTTGGCGCTTTTTTCTGCCCCGCTCATCAGCATCTCATCGTTCTGCCAGCAGAGCCGCTCATTACATCTTTACATCTTTGGTATGTTAATGAAAATGGATCAGAGGCAATGTGCCTCAACAGAAACTAATTAATTATCTCTAGATTGCCCCATGACAGAGCAGCGCGGTTCCTCCTGGACGCTTGCTGCCAAGCCCTCTGCCGGGAGCTCGAGCCGAAACACGGCACCCGGAGGGCGGCCGCTGTGTGACGATGCACAGGTGAAATGCACCTACCGACAGAACCAGGCTGGCAAGCGCAAAGGTGTTTGGTTGTTTACCTGCACATTATTGTGTCTCAACACACAAAAATGTATTTTCATTATTCTGGCATTAGGTCTGTTTTCATGGTGAACATTAATATTTTTTTGTCTTTTTTCCTTTATTGTCTTAAGTCTTTGAAAGCCAAAAGATTTAACATCCACTTTATGAATGGATGCTCTTGCCGTTTCAAATGCTGGGCACCACCTCACCTTATGTAGGTACTTCATTAGTAAGTGATAGCCCTCTGCCACGCTGCCCCCTCCAGGACTTACTGCATCCCCACCTATCTCAACACCCCAAAGACAGACAACACAGACGCGAAATAAGAGGGCAAACATATGTAAACACGAATATGCGGCTGTAGCTGCACGCATATTCATATATGCAAACAAACCCATAACACGTATAAGGATTAAAGGGAGACTCGCTCTCCTAACGGTTGGATGAAGTCATTTTTTTGCAAAATACCAAACTGATTAATGCAGGCTTCAATTAGGTTTAATGAGGAGTCATTATGCTCCCAGCTCAGATTTATTTTAATCTTATACTTCCATGTGACTTGTTAATTACATGATGCTAATCTAAATTTTTTTTTTACTTTGCATTCAGTTTGCTGTGCTCACGTCAAGTAAATGAAGGTTTCAATTAGATGAAGCCAATTAATTTCTCCTGACCTTTCAATTTCCTGTTATTTTCAATAATCCCCTCCATCCATCCATCC